TTCTGGCTCCAGGCCTGGCATCCTATTCATTGTACCACCTAGCGCAATATAGTGCATTAGGTTATAAGCCCAGTAATGGAGTCTCTGGGTCAAAGGGCAGGGACATTTTAGTCATTTTATTTACATAATTCCAAATTGCTTTCCAAAATAGTTGTATGGATTCATAGTTTCATGTATTAGAGTGTCTATCCTTCCACAATCCCTCTAATATTGACTATTGCCATTTTTTCACATTTTTGCTGAATTTCAGGGTGTGAGGTAAAACCTCAGGGTTGTTTCTTATCATTAATGATTTGGAGCATATTTTTCATGTGGTTGTGAATACTTTGCAGGTCTTCTTTTGAGAACTGTTTGTTCATATCCTCTAACCACTTATCTATTGAGGAATGTCTCTGAGTCATAGATGTGTTTATGTATATTATAAATTGTTATGTATTCTGAATACCAAAACCTTATCAGAGAAATCTGATACACAGATTGTTTTCCCATTTGACCACTTCCTTTTTATCCTAGGTGCATTAATGTTATATCTATGGAGAAGTTTTTTAGTTTCAAGTAATCAAAATTATTTTTTGTAATGGCCTCTATCTTTTTTTTTCATTAAGAATACCTCTTTTACCCATAGTTGTGAGAGATACATGATTTGTTTCTCTTCTTGTTTTTAACAGTGTGACTTTTAATATTCAAGTCCTGTATCCATTTCGAATGCATTGTGGAGTGGAGTGTAAGATGTTGGTCTGAGACTCATTTCTGCCAGATGGCTTTCTACTTTTGCATTGCATCCTCAGCGCTTAGTATACCACAAGCACTTAATAAATGCTTTGTTCATCCTTTCCTTCAAATCCAGGGCAGAGGACCTGAAGCGGGGTAGTAGCCAGAACCAGAGTGGAAATTGACTTAGGCAGTCCGGAGGAGGTGCAGTTTCATCAAGGTGTACATTCCCTCTGGTCATGCAGATCCACGCCCATCCTATGTGCCTTTTGTCCATGGCCTCGCTTAGGCACACCGGTGGGCATGAACTGCCTCCTCTGAGAATCTCTGGTTTCCTTCAAAGCCAGCTCCAGGTGGTCTCCCTGTTGCTCACACCCCTTCCCCAACCATGACCCCATGTATTTTGTGCATATTTCTATGTGTGCAGGTCCCCATAGAAGGGAATCTCCCCTGAGGTCAGAGACTGGTTCCCCCAGGGCCTAGCACACAGTAGCCATCTGACCAATCCTCATTTGCTTGACTATCGTCCAAACATCCTTAACACGATATCCCAGTGACGTGCTAAGCCAGGGATGCCCATGGCCATCAGCTCTCTCCCCTCCGCTTTTCTTGGGGTGGCGATCGATTTTACCTCTTATGTGTGGCTGGTGTCAGTGTCATTTCCCTGGGTCCCACCCATTTTTCAGGGTCTCTAGAGCCCAATGTCATGCTGTTTCAATTTCACACTTGAGACTTTTCTCATGACTTTCCCTTCTAACTTGACACACCCCAGTCCCTCCTATGTACTCTGTGGTCCGGTGACACTGTCCTCCTTGCCCTTCCTAAGCAAGACATTCCATCTCCCAACTCCAGGCATTTGCATTGGCTGTCCCTCAACCCTAGAATGTCTAGTCTTTGCCTGCTGGTTTCCTTCAAGTCTCAGCTAAAAGCTCACCTTCTATAGGACGTCTTTCCCAAGCCCCCTTAAATCCAGAGCCTTCCCTCTACTGATTGTCTTCCATCTGTCCTTGTTTGTACCAAGCTATCTGCCTGGTGGCATCCCTCTTCTCCCCCCCTCACCCTGCCCGCACCATTCTACTGTGAGCTCTTGGAGGGCAGGGACTGTCTTTTGCTTTTCTTTGCATCCCAGCACTTAGCTCCGTGCCTAGCACACAGTGGGTGCTTAATAAATATGTTCCTTTTTTTAACTGAGTGCTCTGACGAGTCAGCGTGAGACTCTACAGAGTGGCTTTGGGGTGACCCCCCATCCGTGGTCCTGCCGGTCCTTTTCTCTAAGAAAGCGTTCGTCATGCCGAAGCATCGTGTGACTGATCCTCACCTCTTTTCCCCTTTGCGTGGAAGTCGTGGAGTGTCAAAGTGTCTGTGGATTTCATCTCAGGAAGGTCTTTGTATAATTTCTCCGCCACTGCCTCCTCCTCTGGGAGAGAGAGCACACAGCAGACACCTGATAAAGGCTTTCGTGAAGGCCAGACAGATGGTTAATGTTTGGAGAGTTGATGCCTAACGAGCCCCAGGGAGCTGGGAAGAGAGTGTCCGGTTGCCCCAGGTGGGGAACCCCATCCTTAGGCCCTGAAAGAACTGTTCACAGAGATATTTGAGCCCATCAGGGATCCTGAAAGATCATATGACTTGGTGAATGAGACAGGCATGGCTGGACTGGAGGAAGTTATCCCAGAGCACAGAAGAGTGGAAGAGAATGAAATCTGAGATCTGCAAGCCAGGGCGCTGTGACTAGAGATTTGGTGAGGCAGTGCAGCTGGCAAGGGCCTTCTTTCCCCTCTCCTTTTAGTTTTTTGTTACAAGAGTAGCTTCTCTGGCTAGGAGAGAAGAGTGAGCATATTTGGGAAATGAAATAAAAGAAAACACAAAAATGGAATTTTTCAGGAAGGAAACAGTAATCCCAAAGAGCCAGTGTGGCTTCATCAGAAACACAGCGTGCCAGACTAACCTTACTTCCTTTGTAGATAGGGTTACTGGGCTGATAGAGTCAGAACTTGTTCAATGGCTGGACCCAAAAACTAGTCACAGTTTGACGTTATAGCTGAGAGAGATCTAGAGTGGAGTGCCCCAGGGATCTGTGCTGTTGAACATTCTTTAACAGAGCTTTGCACGCAGCAGGGGCTTAATAAACCCTCATTCAATTGAAATGGATCAAACAAGGAGCCATATGGGGTCTCATCTCTCCACGAGAGCATTAAGGCAGGGGCCTCTCAGCACATCTGTTCTATTTCACTGGATGAACAATCTTCCTAAAGCCCTAGACTTCAGAAATACAGATTTCTAAAAGTTCAGAGGAATGGCAAGCATGACCCCATAAACATACCACAAGCTCTAAGACTAAAGATCTCTCAAGGGTTGGTGAGCCTCGAGTCCCACAAGTCTGATGAGGATGAAAAGGTAGAGAGCCTAAAGAAGGTGATGTGTCCGCCCAGGGTACTCTCTGAAGAACTCAGGCCAGTCCCAAGGGATGACGGATACTATAAAAGGTGGTTGAAAAGCCAAGCCCCAGAAAGAGCTGTCCTGGTGTGAGCTTCCAGCAGCAGGAGTCTGGCTCAGGGTTGGGCTGGTGCCACAGGAGAGGACCTGGTCCTGTGGTGCTAGCTTTGGCCAGTGCTCAGAAACCCCAAAACAGATTGGGATTTGGCACTCAGCTAGCCCGACCCGCTCGTTTGTCAGAGGGTGCTAAGGTGAAGGACCTGGCCAGAGTCTAACCAGGCAGTGAATTGCAGAGAGCCCCGTCCCAACTTCCCAGGTCCTCAGCCTCCGCTGTAAGTGCTCTGCCCACTGCCCGAGGGGCACAACCTCTATGACCAGGGATTTTATGGAATTAGGCCCTTGTTCAGGAATCAGGAATCTCAAGGGAAGGGATGCAGGCATGGAGATGTGGTTCTTGGGCCTGGGCCTTGGGTCTCCTGCCTGCCATCTGTCATCTGCCCTGGGTCCATACTTCAGACCCACCCTCATCCTTCCATGGACCCTGCCTTTTCCTGTTGGCCTCCCCCATTTCTTTCTCCCTGAGCTCTCCTGGCTGCACAGCAGGGAAGTTGCTTCATGTCCTAGGTGCTCTGGTCTCCTGGTGAGCCCTTGGGGAGACACTGAGGCCCCAGTGGAGCATGGCAGTCACCTGTTCCACCTGCCAGGCTGGACTGCCTGGAGGAATGGCCAGAGGTGACCCTGTACCAGAATGCCTTGGGGACCAGGAGGTGACTTGATAAGGCCCACCCTAGTAGATCCTCCCCATGTGGCTCCAGCCACCCCTGAGGACCAGAGTTCTCATAGACTTTCCAGGGTTTCCGGGGGTGGTTCAAGAAGGGCCTCAAGCTGGTCCTCCAACTCTTCTGCCCTTGGTAGCCGGGGCCCAGTGAGGGGAGGAGTGTGTCCTCAGGGCAGTTGATAGCACTGTGGATGCTGGACGGGAAGCCAGCAAGACCTGAGTTCAAATCCAGCCTTAGCCATTTGTGTGCTGCATGGGACCCTGGGCAACTCATTTCACCTCTGCCTGCCTCAGATTCTTCATCTGTAGAATGGGCTGATGATAGTGCTTAAAATACTGCAGAAATGCTAGCCATCGTTATTATTAATCATAATGTTTATGACATTTGCGGTCATGATGCCAATCATCATCTGCTCTCCTGTCCTTGAATCTGGGAGGCCCAGGACCACAGAAGAGGTTTCCTCCCCCCCCAATCCCACCTCTAATCCTGACAGGTCACTTGGATGCTCTGAGCATCAGCTGCCTTACCCGTACAATGGGGAGAATATTCCTGGCAGTTCCAGCCCCACAGGGTTGTTGCTCTGCTCCAAGATGAAGCGCGCCCAGGGAAGCAAGCACTCAGCTGGCCAGCTGCTGTTGAGGCCCTGAGTGGACAGGAATAGTAGCCCCATCCTGCTGTCTGGCCCAGCCAGTGGAGCACTGGGCTAGGGCTGGCCCGGTTGGAGCCACTGCTGCTGGGGTATCCCAGGGCTCTCGGCCACTGGCCAGGGGAAGGTCCTCCCCGGAGTTCTGAAGGGGATGCTAGAAAGGCTGGAGGAAATCAGCCATTTCATTGATGGGGAAACTGAGAGGGGAAGCAGAATGCCCAAGGTCCCCTCGGGAGCCGGTGGCAGGGTTCTTTCTATGTGTCTGTCCCTGGTGGTTTGTTTCAGACAGGGTGATGTCTATCTGTCTGGACATCCATCCACCCTGAGGACTGGGCAGCTCAGAGTGGGTGGGCGCTGGGGCACAAGGGCAGGGGGCATCGGTCATCTTCCCAACTCACTTCCCTCCTCTTTCGCATCTCTCCTTCCAGTGAGTGGGGCCAACAGAAGGACGTCTGCATGTGGGCAGTGAGCGTCGAGAAGAGAGGACAGCGTGGACATTGGTCCTCCTTCCCAGGGTGGAGGAGGGAGGGGCACAAGGCCTGGGCCCCACTGACCTCTGGCCTCACACACACCTGACCCATGCACCATGCCCAGGACCCGGCCAGGGATGCTGATGGCAAGAGTGGCCCCCTGGGGGCTGGTGCTCTGACATGGACTCCCAGGCCCGAGGGAGGGCCATGGGCCCTCCCGCCTGGTAGCTTGAGGGCACTGTCTGGATGTGTTTAGACTGCCCAAGGCCTGCTCAGGTAAGTGGCCCGCTGGGGCCGCAGCTCCCCCTCCCGCCTTCACCTTTGCAGTCTCAGCAGGTGGGTTCTGGCTTGGCCGGGGGCTGGCTTCCCTATCCGGGCTCCTTCTGCAGATGAAGAAACTTCAGTCGTCCTGATCCGTGTGGGCCTGCTGGACCCAGATGGCTCTGGAGGAGAAAGTGAGGCTGGTGACTTTGCACAGCCTTGCCTCACCTAAGTCCAATTCACTGGCATGTCACAGCCTCACCTCCCTGATGTCACGGTTCTCTTTGGGAACAAAAGACAACAGCAGCAAGCCCCAGCTCCCCCGGGGACTTTCTCCCTGTGTGTCCCCAGGCTCTCCTGCCTGGAGCCGGCCCAGGATCGTGGGCAGACCCAGCTGGTGCACCCAGGGCCAACGCCTTCACTTTGGCGGCCTCACTTGTAGCCATGCCCACACCGGGCATTTGGAGGGGCCTCGTGCCCTGCCCCCCCCACCTGGGGCAAGGCCAGCCCTGAGTCTGAGAGTGTAGAGGACCCCCGCCCCCAGCCCCCTGGCAGCAGCTCAGCCTGGCCATGCCCCTCCCCCCTCCCCACCAGGCACCAGGCACCTGCCGGGCCAACTGGTGCAGAATGTGAGTAGCAGCTGGAGGCAGATGCCCTGGCTTCAGAAGTGCTGACACTCAGCCCCCCAGTGACTGTAGGCTAGTCACTGCCCTTCTCTCTGGGCCTCAGTTTCCTCATTTGGAAAAAAGGGTTTGAGCTTGATCCCGTCAGCATTTAGACGCAGCTAGGGGGCACCACAGCGGCTAGCACACTGGGTCTAGAGTCAGGGAGACCTGAGTTAAAATGCACCTTTAGATACTTAGTGGCTGGGTGACCCTGGGCAAGTCACATGACTTCTGCCTGCCTTAGTTTCTTCATCTGTAAAGTGGAGAAAATAACATCACCTCCCTCCTAGTTTGTTGTGAGAATCAAAGGAGATAATAGTTGTGCTTAGAACAATGCCTGGAACACAGTAGGTGCTACATAAGTGTTAGTTGTCATGCTCATTATTTCTTTGTGGGCTCTTAAGCACCAATCCTGCCTACTGCACCAGCCCCACATCATGCATCCTCCTCTCTTCTCCCTAACCTTCTCCCTCCCCTCCCCTCCCCCCCCACCCTCTCCTCCCTTCTCCTCTCCTCTCCTCTCCTCTCCTTTCCTCCCCTTCTCCTTTCCCTCCCCTCCCCTCTCCTCCCCTCCCCTCTCCTCTCCTCCCTTCTCCTCCCTTCTCTTCTCCTCCCTTCTCTTCTCATCTCTTTTCTCTCTTCTCTTTCTTGTGCTGCTGCTGCTGCAGGGGTGCCTGTGAGCACAGAGCAGGGGAGGGGGGCTTTTCTTGCCTCCCCTTTCTGGACATGAAGAAAGACATTGAGGCTTTGGTAGCAGAGGAAAGAGCTGAGATCATTGCCAGGTACCAGAAGGTAAGGACCTGTCTGTGGGAAGCCCTGGGGCCTTCCTCCATGCTCATTCCCTGCGTCCCCTTACCCATTCTCACCCCGACCCCTGACCTAGTGCTAGGCTTTTCACCCTCCACTTCCTGGCTGGGCACACATCTGGTGCCTGGCTTCTGTCCTCTTGAGTAGAGGAGCGTTTGTCTGGACCACGTGCTTCTGTCTGCAGTGCTCCCAGCCTCAGGGATCTGGGAGCCAGCTGGCAGGCCTGAGTTTGGCCCTCACTGAACTGACCACAGCAGCCCAGATTCCCAAGAAAGGACAGGATGGGTAGAGCTGGCTTCACCCATCCTGGTGCTAGGACTTTCCTCTATGACTCTGGGGGAGGGAGAAGAGGAGACAGGAGGTGCCCCACAGCAGAGAGGGCCCAGGCCCTCCCCCACCATGTCCCCTGATTCCCCGCCTCTTTGCAGGGCAGACAGCATGGAGCTCAGATTGACCCTTGGGAGGATGCGGACTTTGCCCTCTACAAGGTCACAGACAGATTTGGGTTTCTGCAGTGAGTATTCTGATGTTCTCCTTCTGCCCGCCCCCCATGCACCCCACTGTCATGCAGGCAGGACCCAGATGGCCCCCTTAGGCTGCTGCCCTAGAAGGCCATTCTGAGAGCTTTTTAGGTGTACTCTGGGTGCTTAGGCCAGGGGAGCCGGGAGGCCGCTGGAGGCGTCTCACTGGCCTGAGGTGCTCAGCATGTCCAGGGCCTTCAATCCATAGGAACTCAGGGTCATAGATTGAGAGCTGGGAGGGACCTTGGAGCCAGCCCCCAAATTTAGAGATGAGGAGATTAAGGCCCAAAAAGAGGAAAGCAGTGGCCAGGGGCCCCAGAGCTAGTGGGCATATGAAGTGTTTTGTGACCCCAGGCCTTCCCGACTCTTGGTTCAGCACTCTAACCTCTAGGCCGCAGGGCTGCTGCACTAACTCTGAGGCCACAGTGCCCCTTGACTTTAGAGCCCTCCTTCTTTGGGACAGGATGTGTCTGACCTTTCTACCCCTCCCCCTCACCACCTTTTTCCTTTGCCCTCCCAGCGAGAGTGAACTGCCAAGCCGCAGTGCCCTGGAGGAGAAGGTGAGAGCCAGCTGTGGGGGCCACAGGGTCTGAGCTGGGGAAGGGGATGAGAAGCCTCCCTCTGGGTGCCCCTCCCCCACCCCAGAAGGCAGGCGGTGGGCTGGACATTAAGGGTGCTAGGGAGAGGGAGGGGCGTGGAGAGGAGGATCTACCTTGTCTTCCAGTGAGGCAAGTCCAGTGCTCCAATCTCTTCCCTTCCCTTCTCCCACCCCCACCATCTCTCCTCCTCTCCTTTTCTCCCTCTCCTTCTCCCTCTGCCCCCCTCCTCCTTTCTCTCCTCTCTCCATCTCCTTTCTCTCCAGTGTTTCTCCTCCTCTCTCTTTTAGTCCATTCCCTCCTCCATGATTCCATCTATCTGGCATGACCTTTGCAGTGGTAACTCCCCCGCACCAGGTGTGTTCTTGGGAGTCACCTGGGGGTGGGCAAAGCTGGAAAGGAAAACAGAGCAAAGCCTGACCAGAGGGATGGCTCTCCTGCAGGGCTGCCAGAGCCCCTCCCCACTAGCGGCATGACCCTGCTAGTTTCCAGCTGTCCAGGCGTATCAAGCACAGACAGTGTACTTCTCCAGGAAATTTCAATTCTGAGGGTGCTCTGGGTCTTCATTTTTCAGCAAAAACTCCAAGAGATCGAGCGGGTAGGCAAGTGGCTGAAGATGCTGAAAAAGTGGGATAAATACTGCAATAGTGAGAAGGTAAGAGGAGGGAAAGCCCCTGAGTCCAGAGCCCATGACAGCTGGATCCCGTTGCTCCCTTCTTCCCTCTCGCTGGCCCTGGGCACCTTCTGCTCAGGCTCCCCGGCTGCTTTGCCATCATTACCTCTGCGTATGGGGACATAGCCCCCTTGGGACCAGCACAAGGACTTTGGGGCACCCCAAAGCCCCAGCAACCCACTCTCTTCACATTTTCAAACAGTCAGAGAATGTCTTTTACTCATTCCTCCAACACCAATCACCATCCTGGCTGCTCCTTTCCATCCTGGGGAATGCTGGATACCCCCTTCTGTCATCCTCCCCCCACCTCATGTTCGATCTCTCCCTGTCTACTGGCTGCTTCCCTCCTGCCTGCCTATGCCTCTCCCATCTTGAAAAACCCTCACTTGACCCTCCCACCACCACTTTCATATCTCTCCTGCCTTTTGGTGGCTAAGTGCCTTGAGAAGGCTGAGTCTACACTGGGCACCTCCCTTTCCTCTCCTCTTACTGTCTTCTTCAACTGTTATAATCTGGCTTCCAACCTAACCATTCCACCAAAACGACTTTCTCCAAAATTACTCATCCTAATTGCCAAATCCAATGGTCTTTTCCTAATCCTCATCCTTCTTGGACTATCTACAGCCTTGGACACTGGTGATCACTCTCTTCTCCTGGATCCGGGCTCCCCTCTTCCCTCTGTGACCATCCCTGCTCAGTCTCCTTTGCTGGATCCGCCTCCAGGCCATGTCCTCTAACTGTAGGTGTTCCTCAGGGTTCTCTCCTGGGCCCTCTGCTCTTCTGCCACTCTACTCCTTCACCTGGTGATCTTATGTGCTCCTATGGATTTAATTACTTTCTATGTCTATGATGATTCTCAAATCTAACTTTCCTGTTCCAATCTCTTTGCTGACCTCTAGTCTCATATCTCCAACTGCCTTTCAGACATGTTAAACTGCCAGTAGACATCTTAAATTCAATATTTATAACACAGAACTCATTATCTCTCCCCCTAAGCCTCCCCCCCCCAACCTTCCCTATCGCTGTCAAGGGCAGCACCCTCCTCCCAGTTCTCAGGTTCCCAACCTAGGAGTCACCGTGGACTCCTCACCATCTCTCACCCCCACCCCCCAGATCCAATATGGTGCCAAGGCCTGTGATTTCACCTCTGCCACATCTCTGGTCCATTTCACCCCTGCCACATCTCTGATTGCTTTCACCCCCTGCCACATCTCTGGTCCATTTCACCCCCTGCCA